ACCGTTAAGAGTACTACCAATGAGTTAGATCCTTTACCCAACCCTTTAAATAAATGCTGGGTAGGGTATTTTATCTTGCCTTCAACGATGCGATGATTAAATTTAATAACAGTCTGCTACTATTCAACAATAAAAGCGGCAAAACCATTTTCGCATCCTCAAGAAATATTTGCTGCTGTTCGTTACGACTCCAAGCACAGACACATTTTGCAGTCCACATTATTGAGGTTATTTAAGTATAAAAATGTTAAAATATCAAACTTCTACTTCGATCCCAGCGAGGGCACCCTTTCAGATAATGTTCACACATCACCATGTCAGGAAATACGTACATGTATGAAAAAACAGATCTAAAACTTTTTTATCCAATTCATTTTCATGAAAAACCAAATGGGAAATCAACACATGTAAAATGAACCTAACGATCGGTGGATTTTTTTTTATGGAAACCACGTTGTATGATTGCAATGATATTGCATGATCAAACAAACGTATCGATATTTCATTATTTGTTTCATGCTTTTCAAAGTGAAATGGGTCGATACTTTGAAGGATCAGTATGATCTCACCCAGATTCATTTATTGAAGCGAAAAGAGCATAACGCCACATAGAAGGGGAATTTGAAGATCTTGGTTAGAATTGGCCTTCTGGAACCCGTGCTTGTTGTAAGAGCCAACTAACGGGATCGGGTGGTCAGGCTCGCTAACTTTGTTGACACTTGTCATCGTATCCCAATTGCGTAGATCGATGCTCATGCTGTTGATCACTGGTTTGTCTGTTCTAGGTTCGATAATTAAAGACCGCAGTCATATAGCTTATAAAAACCAAGCAAACAAACAAACGTATGTAGAAACCTCAATAATTGCCATACTGTTTGGATTTTCAGACAAGGTTGTCCAGATAATATCATTTCTGTTTTCATCAGTATATGCCTGACTTTCTCACTTTCAGAAACAGTTTGTACACAGGTTACACTACCATTTTTTTATTTTTTATCAGATGCAACCATTACTGTAAAGTTTGATATTCCCATAGAAATAGAGAAGAAGTGGTTTTGGTCGAAATATCAATACATCCCTGTGAATGACACTCATGTAAATATTGACAATGAGCTGACCCAATTCAGTGTAGTGTTATCATGGTCATCTTAAACAAAAAGTACATGTTCAATATATCGATAGGTATTCTTGTTAGTGCAACTGTAAACAGAGCATGGGACGAAACCAGTTATTAATCACGAACTCATCTTCTCTGTATTTTGAAGAATCATAAGTATTAAAAAGGCAAAATTCGACCTGAAGCTACACGTTTTGACGATGAGCAACATGTTGGTTAAGCCATCCTTTGGCCAACAGGAACTTCATAAATAAAGACTTGAGAGAAATGTTTAGAAATTGGTAGGACAATTATGACAAGAGGTTAGTTACACTTGTTAGTGCAACAGTAAACGGTACATGGGGCGAAATCAGGGAGTCCAATGTAATCACGAATTCTTCCTCTTTTGAAACTGTTTTAACGAAATCTGTTCCAAGGAGCTGGAAACAGAAGATGGATGTTGGCACTACCGGCCGACATATCTACAAATCTTTAAAGCCTGGTCGTAAAATGTGTTGTCGTGATGAGGTCATTCTGGCACGATTGCGAGTTGGACAGTGTGGGTAAAGTAGGGCTCTTCTATAGTATGACCAGAAATTATTGAGAATTTTAGGAATATGTTAAAATGGATTTCTAGTATAAACAACCTTGACCAGCTATCAAGTGCTTGTTTCATTCAAGAGATACAACTCCGTTAATCCCTTCTCATTAGTTTGGGAAGAGTTATCCCCCTTTGTTTACTTGCTAGCAGACGACATTTTCAGTGATCCTCAGTATGGATGATTTAGAGAAGAGGAAGTTGATTTTGGAGTATTATAACAGGGACATCAGATCAGCTAAAGTGATTTCAAGTAGAACAGGCATCCCTCTGTCCACTGTTTATCGTGTTTTAAAAATATTGCAAATGGATATGGCATTGAGCACCAGGGAGGCGCAGGTAGGCCCAGAAAATTGACTGTCGGTGACACGAGGCGGCTTGGTATTCTTGTTTCTAAAAACAAACGAAGGAGTTTAGAAAACTTAAGGCTGGATATGATTGATAGAGGAACTGTGGCTGTCTGTAATGAGACAATTAGAACTGAGCTGCATGCAAGGGGTTGGCAGAAAAGTCGAGGAATTCCATCACCGATCATGAAACCTAAACAAAAGGAGCGAAGGTTGAACTGGTGCTTACAGCATAGAAAGTTTAACTGGGACAATGTGATTTTCTCAGATGAAAGTTCTGTGTGGCTGTTTCCTAATACACTGAAATTCTGGACCAAACAAACTGAAAAACCTTTGTATCAGCGCCCAAAGTACAGTCCGAAATTTAACGTGTGGGGTGGCATATCTGTGTTAGGGGCAACGCCCCTCTGTGTATTTGAAGGGAATATGAACAGTGAGCGGTACACAGATATTCTCGAGGGACATTTATCAATCTGCTCACGTGTTCTATGGAAATGTTTGGATTTTCCAGCAGGACAACGACCCAAAACATCGCTCAAAGCATTCACAGGCCTGGTTTCGGACCCCAAATATGACATTATTAGATTGGCCAAGCTATAGCCCTGACCTAAATCCAATAGTAAGTGTTTGGGGACTTATGAAGGAAAGTGTCAATAAGAAAAATCTGGCAAATATTGCTGAAATGAAGGAAGAGGTGGTCCGATATTGGGACAGCATGGACCACGACTTTCTAACTTCTTTGATTAGTAGTGTGCCCCGCCGCATTGAAGCCTGCATTGCTGCCTATGGTGACTTGACAAAATACTAACTGTTCACCTGTCTTTGAATCTGGAGTTATGTTCTGCTAATATTAACATTTAATACGTGAGTAATGAGTGAAATTTTTTTTACAATCTTTAAGTTCTCAATAATTTCTGGTTGTACTGTGTAACTGTGACCATTGCAATTTGGAGACGCCGGCAAATATTGAAGACTATCATGCCCCTGAAAATTATAAATTAATATCACAAACACACCATCCATATGCTACAGGTTTAGATTTATCAGAGAGTGTTTTCTTATCATGTTGAAAATTAGTTCTTTTCACGCCGTTTCATAGTTCGCTGCTGTGCAATATCACTGGCCTATCTATATGGCTGAAATAACGTCAAAACGACATTATTCTCTTACTATCTATTCTCTTACTATATAATTCGTTTTTGTAGACATTGATTATCTTCAATTCAACTGACAACCAGTTTTCTCCACCAGGTACACAGTAGGCAGACATCAACTAGCCGACACATTTGATATATCATCGGCAATGTACAATTCAAGTATGCGTACATTAAAGGAGATAACAATCCTCTTCCTGGCAGCGTTCATTGGTAAGTTCGAGACTCGCCGAGGTATTTGGATGTCATGGGTATCAGGTCTAATTGTCGCATGGCGTTTGCTTAGATTCATCCTCGATTACCCGCTGTGTTTATGCTATTTAATGAATACCCTGGACCCTGTTCATCAAAACGATGTTAAAGTATTGGGAGTTCAGATCAACTATCGCTATAACGCATCCAAGACCCATTCCCCACAATACCACCATTTCTAATGTGATTTCACCGGCTCCACTTGTCCCATCCTTCACTTAAAACACACAAAAGTCACCATCAACAAACAGTAAAGGCCTCACTGTGATTTCACCGGCTCCACTTGTCCCATCCTTCACTTAAAACATACACAAGTCACCATCAACAAACAGTAAATGCCTCTTCTGAAAGCTTTCATCTGAAACCGAAAACTGTTGCACATCAGCTGGAACGCCACCATCGAGAAGAACCAGGCTTCAACAAAACGATGTAAAAGTATTGGGAGTTCAGATCAACTATCGCTATAACGCACCCAGGACCCATTCCCCACAATACCTCCGTTTCTAATGTGATTTCACCGGCTCCACTTGTCCCATCCTTCACTTAAAACATACACAAGTCACCATCAACAAACAGTAAAGGCCTCACTGTGAATTCACCGGCTCCATTTGTCCAATTCTTTACGTTAAACACACAAAAGTCACCATCAACAAACAGTAAAGGCCTCACTGTGATTTCACCGACTCCACTTTACTAAAAACATACAAAATCACCATCAACAAACAGTAAAGGCCTCACTGTGATTTCACCGGCTCCACTTGTCCAATCCTTTACTTAAAGCATACAAAAGTCACCATCAACAAACAGTAAAGGCCTCACTGTGATTTCACCGGCTCCACTTGTCCAATCCTTGACTTTAAACACACAAAAGTCACCATCAACAAACAGTAAATGCCTCTTCTGAAAGCTTTCATCTGAAACCGAAAACTGTTGCACATCAGCTGGAACGCCACCATCGAGAAGAACCAGGCTTCAATAAAACGATGTAAAAGTATTGGGAGTTCAGATCAACTATCGCTATAACGCATCCAGGACCCATTCCCCACAATACCTCCGTTTCTAATGTGATTTCACCGGCTCCACTTGTCCCATCCTTCACTTAAAACATACACAAGTCACCATCAACAAACAGTAAAGGCCTCACTGTGAATTCACCGGCTCCATTTGTCCAATTCTTTACGTTAAACACACAAAAGTCACCATCAACAAACAGTAAATGCCTCACCGTGATTTCACCGGCTCCACTTGTCCCATCCTTTACTTAAAACGTACAAAAGTCACCATCATCAAACAGTAAATGCCTCTTCTGAAAGCTTTCATCTGAAACCGAAAACTGTTGCACATCAGCTGGAACACCACAACGGTCATCGAGAAGAACCAGACTTACTTCAAAACCCAAAACTACTTGAAGGTGCCCACATGAAGAAGGTTTGCCCTGCTATCAACGGGGATGAAGGATATTTTATCCCCTGGGCCTATCATCACTTACTCAGTTAATTTCCTGTAACTTTACTCAACCAGTGTACATGATCTCTTGTATAATATCACTTCACTACTGACTTCTCAACAACCTCCTTAATCCTCTATGTAAACAACCTATGCAGATCATTCCCTACTGGCTGCCAATCAACATCCTTAACCTCTTATGTATGCTACCTATGTACATCCTCTTAACTGGCTGAACAAAGAAGTTATATATCCATAAAAAACGTCTTCATTCTTCATCTCCTCAATTTCTAGAATGCCAATCAAAGAAGTAGAACATAATGTTTCAACGCGACAAGACGGGAACGAGTCTAAACACATTGCAGTTTTACACTGCAGGAATAAGTGATTAAAAGCATCACTGGCTACAAATGAGTGAGTGAGTTAAAAGTTAACGTCACCTCGGCAATATTTCATCCATATAGTGACGTGAAATGTTGGGCATACACAATAAACACAAGTAGGTAAATAAACAGTCATCGACGGACTGTAAAATAACTAGAGTATCACAGATATAGGATATAAAACTAGCATGGAAAACTAAAACATTTTATTGAAAGCAGACAATACAATATAAAACACGGGCTATAGATCGCCAACAACTGAAGGTAGATCACCGTACTAGGGAACCAAGGGGACTTACATTACTTTTGCTACGTGCATGGACCCTAGTTGGATTTACACCATCCCCTCAGCTACTGGAGGTAGTAGGAAGATTTAGCCGAAATTTAAAATAACAAAAATACTACGATTAAAGAATATGGAAGAGCGAAATTTACTTGTAAAGTTTTGGGACTTACGTATCCTCTCGGGACGAACTGGCTACAAATACTGACCGGAATTTTTTTTATGTAAGTTTAAGGTATGGTACGCCCAAGAGAGCTTTGTGAAACACCCATAAAATCGTAAGTTAAAGAGAAAAGTAACGAGACCTTAGGCTAATGAGAGTTTCGTGAAACGGTCTCCTGGCTTGCTTTTTCCCCTTTCGTTTCTGAAAAGAACGATTGACCGTATTCAGAACTTCTATTTGATAATTAGGTCCTCCCTTCTGCACTGGTTGAATTTTGCACAGATATGTCTAATATATGTATGTGAAGCCCAATTTTTCTTTAGTAAATCGGAGTCTTAAAGAATTTTTGCCATATTGGACACTTCTTCCCAAACCGGAATGAATTTAACTTTTCAAACTTGTCTAGAATTCCCTATATCCGATGGGAGCTATGCAAACCGTTTATTTCTTTCAATTAAAATGTCGTTTTCTAAAACCAAATGATTGATTATACCTTACAGCCGTCGACATATACATTAAAGAGGATAAACTCTTTCCACATCGACAAGAAATGCAAGGCTAAAACCAGAGTCGATTGTACAATGTCATGAGTATGTGTTGGTGGATCACTATCAACTTGTGATGATAGAAGTAACATGGTGTAGCCTTCTGGATTTGTTAAAACGAAAGTTTGATTGTGACTGAAGGGGCACCTGATGTTTCAGATATTGCAACAACGACCCCAACACTACCAATAAAGTATACGCTTTACGGCACAACCAAAACCTGGAACGAGGCCCGTGCTGTTTGTGAGTCGAATGGTCAGCAGATGCTGAAGTTGGATACTGAGGCCAACTTTGACAACTTCATGGCTTGGAAAAACATCTGGGAGGCCAATGGGCAGCTGTACGTATAACATATATAAAGCAAAATTATTGTGAACCTATTTTATGAACCTATAACAGAATCCGGCTGTGAACTGCCTGTTTGCGTTATCAATTGAGGCACTAGATCATGAAATGTACAGTTCGTATTGGTATGAGAAGTTGCTCCGAAAAACTAGCTGGTACCTTCACGAAGCTTTCAGGATACGTTGGGTTATGGCGACATGTGTGACACGTTGTGTCTTTTTGACATGTGTATGACATGTTCTGTTGTTGTGACGCATGTGTGTGACCTGTCCGGTTAATCAGACATGTGTGTTACGTGTTCTGTTGTGAAAAGTGTGTGACATGTTCTGTTGTGACCTGCGTGTCACATGTTATGTTGTGACATGTGTTTCACATGTTCTGTTATGACATGTTTCTCGTGTAATGTTGTGACGTGTGTGACATGTTCTGACATGTTTTGTTGTGCCATGTGTGTCACATGTTCTGTTGTGCCATGTGGGTCACATGTTCTGCGGTGACATGTGTGTAACATGTTCTGTTGTGACATATGTAACATGTTCTGCGGTGACATGTGTGTAACATATCTGCGGTGACATGTGTGTAACATGTTCTGTTGTGACATGTGTGTCATATTCTGCGGTGACATGTGTGTAACATGTTCTATTTTGACATGTGTGTGTCACATGTTCTGTTGTGACATATGTGTCACAGGCTCTGTTATGGTATGGGTCTGACATGCTCTTTTGTGATCTAATGTGAGCTGTATGTCACATGTTTTGTTGTGACATGTGTGTCACATGTTCTGTTGTGACATGCCTACGACACATTACATACGGTTCTTGTGACGTGTGTGACATTATATTGTGTACTCAGGGACTCCTTCAAAAGGGATTATAGCGCAACTCTTCCAATGAAAACTTAATTACGACAGTCGTATCGCTAAAATCGCTTTGTGGGACGGGTCCGAGACCGACCGTACCGCCTGCATTTATTAAAACGGTAAATTAATGTTCTTATATCGTATGTTTAGATACAAACTTTTATCATAATGCCTTACTTTATAAAAATGACTTCGTGAAATTGCAATCAATAACATGGGTGTTTCAGGACCGTAGGTATATGGACTGGACTACACCAACATGTTCTCACAGACCCTACTGTGTTCAACTTGGAGTGGCATGACTGTGAGCCACTTGGAGCCTGGGTGCCTTGGGATAACAGCGAACCAAACGCACCAGAAACGGAAAAGTGCGTACGGATACGATTAACTAACAAGTTCCGCACATTCCAATGTAGTGCTAAACGTCACGTGGTTTGTCAAGAGGCTACAGGTAGGAAGCTTCTTTAACTGGTGCCGAGTTCCAGCTAATTGTACGTTGGGTCTTGGTCAATGCAACCTGATGTAACACATTTGCCAGATCAATTCTTACCACATATAAATATCAGAAAACGAAATGGCTGAAGGCACTGGATTTAATGAACGGTGTTTCTAATTCTAAATGGGAAGACATCAACACAAGACGTAATGAGTGTGTAATTGCGCAATATCACGCGTAGAGAATTCCCAAAATCTTCACTGATTCATGTTTCAAAAAGCTGTCGTAGTGCAGGTCGTAAGTCTATGCTGATATATGATGGGTACATGATCTCATTGAAGCGGGATTCCAACTCTGAGGAAAATTCATTCTGATGTCTTGGAGTAGACTAGAGGTGAAAGCATTCGTTCGTCAAGCCGAATACCGATTCGATTCCCTACATGGGTATAAATGTGTGAAGCCCTTTTCTAGTGCCCGCCAGTCGTGGTGTTCCTGGCAGTATTGCTAAAAGCGGAGTAAAACTAAACTCCCTGATTTAATTTCGACACAATGTTGATCAATGTATGACTCGTCACACTTCGCGAACTAAATATTGATGCGTTTTTATGTGTTGACTAGATGAATGTACCTTTGAAAGATTTGATGGTCAGGACGTTGTTCTCCCTACGGCTGCCTCCTCCATTAATGTGGGTATTGATGACTGCCAGCGCGCATGTCTCACTTATACCGGAAGTGTACAGTGTGTTGCTGTAGTCTACAGCGAAACAGCATCTGGCGACCCTTGCAGGATATACACTAGGCAGCAGGTGTACATAATCGACAATCCGGAAATGACGTCATCGTCTGGTAGAACAGCTCTCGTGAAGCGGTGTGTTCAAGGTACATATACATAAGAAGGTCTAGATCTTCCTTATGATGCAGGGATAGGAATGATTTAGGTAAAGAATCAGTTCAAGCAACTTGTGTCGGTCATAAGGGATGACCTGAGTGATCTTTTGGCCAGACTAAGTGACTTGGTTGATATCATGTCATCGTAGCAAAACAGTGTGGATCATTGCTCATGATATCGATCACTGGATTGTCTGCTTCACACTGTCACATACAGACGTCCGTCCTATAGCGTATTACTCAAACACTCAAATAATTATGGTTTTTCACTAACAGTCCAAACCTTATGTAATCCACATCTTTGTATTATTTCAGAATGATAAAAATACTGGACCTTTCCAACTTCTTAACCGATTAATTATAAATAAATCTGTTCCTTTTTTAATGTCATGATAAAATAACTTTCAGGTGATTACATGTCGACTGCCGTATCGGTTCCAGCAAACAAAGACAATGACCCAATAACTACATGTCTTGTGACCACGTCATTGACATCTATTAAGACGTCAGAACCGATCTCAGCATCACCCACAACTATGGATATTCAACTGGATATTTTAACCGACACTCAATCAGAATGCATACATTCTTCATATGGAAGTTTTAGTAACGGTGATCCTGTGCACGAAAGTGCATTTACACCCGCAAATAGCTTTCCTGAGACGAACTCATTGACGTCCAGTTCAGTGAATTCTCCTGAGACATCCATCATAGAGACCGAACCTTCTTCCGAATCACATTCTACATCCACAAATCGCATGTACTCAGTCGCCGTTTCAATGATTTCCAATTCAGGAAAGACATCCGTGATTGAGACCGAATCTATCGAATCACATCTGACATCCACAATGACATCAAATAAGCTTACTCCTATCAGCCTGTATTTTTCAACCTCGTTAGTCTCTGACAGCACAACGACCAAAACAGCTTCTGCGTCAAACGTTGCACCCTCGGAAACATTAACGATGACCATGTCTGAATCGTCACAAATCACCACGTTGCTTGATGTTGTTGATACGGCATCATCTGAGGCCACACAGCCTACATCGACTATAGTCAGCGATCCTCTGGAACCGGAGTCAAGCACACAGGTTTCCAACCTGGATCTGGATCCATCAAGCGTGGTGTCAAGTACTGGTAAGAATCCATTATCTTAACATCAGCCAGTTGATGTTATTTTCAGGACGTTGTCTAACAATCCAAATGGACAATGCATTTTGAAGCAGAAATTATTGATAACTTTTGCCATGTGAAAACTCACTGTTGTCACATATCAGTTTTGTCAATATATTAATCAATGCTATTAAACTTCAAGTTTGTACACAATATTCTGTCAGAGAAAAAACATTGATTGCTCACGTTCCTCTGATAATCTTCATATGATAGAGCTCTCCTTCCCAGCAAACAAATGTTCACCAGAAAAGGCTAAGAAGGCAGAGGAACTTCATCAGAGTTCTATTTATTTCCAATCCAAAGTCATGACATCCATTAAAGCAAATAATCTGCACTTTAGTTCGAAGAAGTCAAGTCAAAAACAGATTAAAAATTATTTACTTCCCCGACATCATTTGTTGGCAGTTTGAAGTTCCTGAGGGCGAAGGATCCGTGAAGATCGGCTTCAGCAACCCATGCTTGTCATAGGAGGCGACTAATGGGATAATTTGGTCAGTTCCACGTTTCACAAAGCGATCATAGCCCTACGACTATCGTATCTCCTATACTTTAACATAAAGTTACGACAGTCGTAGCACTAAGATATCTTTGTGAAACAGGGTACAGGCTCGCTGACTTGGTTAACAAATGTCATCGAATCCAAATTGCGTCGAT